CCCCGTAGGGAGCTCCACCGATGGTCACAGAGGCGGTGTCCACATGCGTCGCCCCCACACAGCACAGCATTTCCCCATGGGGAGCTCCACTGAAGGCCCCAGTGGCGGTGTCCACATGCGTCTCCCCCACACAGCACAGCGCTTCGTGGCCCCATGGGTAGCTACACCGAAGGCCCCAGTGGCGGTGTTCACATGCGTCTCCCCCACGCAGCACAGCGCTCGTGGCCCCATGGGGAGCTACACCGAAGGCCCCAGTGGCGGTGTCCACGTGCGTGTCCCCTTCACAGCACAGCGCTTCGTGGCCCCATGGGGAGCTACACCGAAGGCCCCAGTGGCGGTGTCCACATGCGTCTCCCCCACGCAGCACAGCGCTTCGTGGCCCCATGGTGAGCTCCACCTAAGGCCCCAGTGGCGGTGTCCACATGCGTGTCCCCCACACAGCACAGCGCTTCGTGGCCCCATGGGGAGCTACACCGAAGGCCCCAGTGGCGGTGTCCACGTGCGTCTCCCCCACGAAGCACAACGTTTTGTGGCCCCATGGGGAGCTCCACCTAAGTCCCCAGTGGCGGTGTCCACGTGCGTCCCCCCACCCAGCACACATTTTGTGGCCCCATGGGGAGCTCCATGGAAGGCCCCAGTGGCAAAGTTCTCACGCGCCCCAATGGCAATGTTCGCATGCGTCTCCCCCCGCTCAGTACAGCGTTCCGTGGCCCATGGGGAGCTTCACCTAAGACGATACCCACAAATGCGGTACTAACCACTGCATATGGTTGGGTCCTTCGCGAGGCTCATTTACTGTCGTCGTCGCCCTCCTACGGCGTGGGCAATGTCGTCGTCGCCCTCCTCCTCTTTCTCCTCCTCCTCCTCCTCCTCCTCATCCTCATCCCCCTTGCCCCTCCTCCTCCCCTATCCCCTTCCTCCAACTCCTCCTCCTGCATCCCAAGTCGATGGGGTGGTAATCTACCGAGCATGATCGTCCCCAAATCCCCCTATGAGGCCCCGAACGGGCGACGGCCGGTCGGGATGCTTTGCCAATTTTCCCAGCCGTCCTGTGTCTCGTGTAGTATCCATGGCGGCCGCGTCTCCTCTCATCCCCAGTCCCCTCTTCCCTCCTCCCTGCTCCCCGCATATCCATTTCGGCACACCCTCACGTCTCGTGACCCCATGGGGAGCTTCACCAACGGCCCCAATGGCAGTGCTCACATACGGCTCCGTATCCATTTCGGCGCGCCCCTCACGCGCTTCTTGGCTCCATCGGGGGCTCACCGACGGCCCCAGTGGCGGTGCTCACTTGCGGCCCGCCCCGCACCCATGTCGGCGCAACTCTCACGGGTCGCGTGGCTCCGTAGGAATTCCCTCCGATGGCCCCAGTGGCAGTGCTCACGTGCGGACCCGCGCCCATGTCGGCGCGCCCCTCACGCGTTTCGTGGCCCCATATAGGCAAGCCCTCCGAGGGGCCCCAGTGGCAGTGCTCATCACACGCGTCTCTGCGCAAGTTTCGGCCCACGCTTCACACGTCTCGTGTCCCCATAGAGAGTCCCACCGAAGCCCCCCACATGCGGCCCCTCACACGTCTCGTGGCCTCGTAGGGAGCTCCACCAGAGGCCGCAGTGGCAACGCTCACGTGCGGCCCCGCACCCATTCCGACACGCCCCTCACGCCGTTTGTGCCCCAGCAGCAAAGTCCGCATAGAGCGCCTCCCCGCCCACTTCGGCACGGTACTCACGCGCTTCGTGGCCCCAAGGGGGGCTTCACCTCAGAACCTGGCGTGTGCGTCCAATTGCGGCTCTCCGTCCATGTCGGCGCACCCCTCACACGTCTCGTGGCCCCATCGGGACATCCCCCTCCATCGGCCCACCTGCCTTGCTGTACTCACATTTGCATGTGGTTGGGTCTTGGCTTGCGACGCCCAGGTGTCGGGATCACACCCCCAATTTCGGGTATGAACAAGGAATGCGACACAACCACCACCACCACGGTCAATGCTGTAGAGGGGGGTCCTCGTGGTGGTGTAGTGTCGCCGTTTGCCGGCGTCCCGCTCAAGACATCTCCAATGTCCTGTTCGGAGAAGCATCGTACACCTTCACGCCACGGTGGCCCTGCTGGTGGGTGGTGGTGGTTTCGGTGGCATCGCTTCGCCTTCCTCCAAAGCCTCTGGAACCTCCCGAGAAAACCTCATGACACACCCCAAGGCATCCGAACAACTTAGTTCGCCGGACGAAGGACCCAACCGTATACAGGTGTGAATACCGAAATTTTGATTCACTTTTTTCGGTGGTGATCCCTCTGAGGCAACGAACCGTGCTAGGGTTATGCCGAAATGAGTGGCGTGGCACACAACGCGAACGAAAACGATTGATCTGAGTACGTGGGGAGACTGAGCGCGGGGAAATCCGAACGCGAGTGCGTCTGACTGTGAATGATTCTGCGTGCGAGCGAACCTACGTGCATGAATGCGAGTATGACACAGCATGGTGTAATTGTTTATGAATGTCAATAGTTTGAGAATGACTGCCTCTGAATACTCGTGACGCTGGGCGTGGCCGCCGCAAGGAGCTTCCCCGGGACTCCCCGACGGCATCGCCCGCGCGCCGCGACGCCAATGTCGGCGCGCCCCCCCGCAAGGATCGCGCCCGCTTCCTCCCCTTCTTTTGCTCCCTCTTTGCCCGCGCACTCAAAAGTCCAAGGCTGCGGGCGCAGCGCAGCGCGGAGCCCCCGCGACGCGCGCAGGTCGCCCCGGAGGGGTCCCAGCGACGCGCGCGGGTCGTCCGCTGCGCGGAGCAAAGAGAGCAAGCTGGCTGGCTGATAGCGGGCAAGGCTCTTGCCGCTGGGCAGAGCTACGACGGGCGAGCGAGGCGCGGAACTCCGACGGCCTCCGACGGAGGTGTACTGGGTGGGGGAGACGCATGCGGACTGCGCCACGGGGACCTTCGGTGGGGCTCCCTATGGGGCCACGACGCGCTGTACTGGGCGGGAAACCCGCATGCGGACTGCGCCACGGGGACCTTCGGTAGAGCCCCTATGGGGCCACGAAACGTTGTACTGGGTGGGGGAGACGCATGCGGACAGCGCCACGGGGACCTTCGGTGGGGCTCCATATGGGGCCACGAAGCGCTGTAGTGGGTTGGGGAGACGCATGCGGACTGCGCCACGGGGACCTTCGGTGGGGCTCCATGTGGGGCCACGACACGCTGTACTGGGTGAGGGAGACGCATGCGGACTGCGCCACGGGGACCTTCGGCGGAGCCCCTATTGGGCCACGAAGCGCTGTACTGGGTAGGGGGGACGCATGCGGACTGCGCCACGGGGACCTTCGGTGGGGCTCCATATGGGGCCACGAAGCGCTGTACTGGGTGGGGGAGACGCATGCGGACTGCGCCACGGGGACCTTCGGCGGAGCCCCTATGGGGCCACGAAGCGCTGTAGTGGGTGGGGGAGACGCATGCAGACTGCGCCACGGGGACTTTCGGCGGAGCCCCTATGGGGCCACGAAACGCTGTAGTGGGTGGGGGAGACGCATGCGGACTGCGCCGCGGGGACCTTCGGTGGGGCTCCATATGGGGCCACGACACGCTGTACTGGGTGGGGGAGACGCACGCGGACTGCGCCACGGGGATCTTCGGTGGGGCTCCATATGGGGCCACGACACGCTGTATTGGGTGGGGGAGACGCATGCGGACTGCGCCACGGGGACCTTCGGCGGAACCCCTATGGGGCCACGAGGCGCTGTACTGTATGGGGGGGGGCGCATGTGGTACACACCACTGGGGCCTCAGGTGGACCTCCCTATGGGGCCACGAAGCGCTGTACTGGGTGGGGGAGACGCATGTGGTACACACCACTGGGGCCTTAGGTGGACCTCCCTATGGGGCCACGAAACGCTGTACTGGGTGGGGGGGACGCATGTGGTACACCTTAGGTGGACCTCCCTATGGGGCCACGAAGCGCTGTACTGGGTGGGGGAGGCGCATGTGGTAGACACCTCTGGGGCCTCAGGTGGACCTCCCTATGTGGCCACGAAGCGTGAGAGGAGGAGAGGAGGGAGGAGGAGGAGGATGAGGAGGAGACGCGGGGACCGTCTCTTCAAAACTAGGACCTAACAACACAGGTTGGTTGGGAACAAAACAGCAATGAAGAAAAAACACACGCATTATGAACTACCGAGCTCATCCGGTGACCATTTACAGCCTCCAGGGACCGCCGAGAAGCTCCGCAGATTGCCGAGAACCTCCGAAGAGCTTGTCCTCAGATGGGCACCTCCACGCGTGCGTTCTGGCCAGAGTCCCGAGGGGAATCCCGCAGCGTCCACGAGGGCGCCCCAAGAGGCCCCAGAAAGGTACAGAGACGCTCCCAAACTTAGATCCTCGCGAACCTCCACCAATTGTGCGCTCACGCTGAATCCCCAGACCTCTACCAAGATCCCCATCCCCCTTGCCACTGGAGCCTGTGTCTGGCCGCGGCTACGACGACCCTCCGGGAGGCCCCTCGAAAATGTCAAAAACTCCGACATCTGGGAAGGCTTCGGTGCGCGCAGACAGTCCCTCCATGTAGCCCTGGCTGGCCTCAGCAGGCCCTCCCGGGTAGCCCCAGCTGGCCTCTGCAGGTCCCCCAGGATAGTCTGGGGCGGTCTCCACAGCCCAACCCTGGGGCGCGGAGCGTCCCAGGGGCGCCGCCAGGTGGTGCCGGAGTGTTGAGACCACCCCGAGCTATTCGGCGGGCCCATTGCAGTCAGCTGTGACTTCTCGGGGGGCCTGCTGAGGCCAGCCATGACTACTTGGGGGGCTGTCTGTGAGCAACTGAGATGTCGTCGTCGTCGTCGTCGCCGTCGCCGTCGCCGTCGCCGTCGCCGTCGCCGTCGCCGTCGTCGTCGTCGTCGTCGTCGTCGTCGTCGTCGTCGTCGTCGTCGTCGTCGTGGTCGTCGTCGTCGTCGTCGTCGTCGTCGAGGTCGAGACGCGAGACCATCGAGATCGCAGGGGCTGCGAACGCCACTGCGCGCGGGCCTGCGTCTTGACGACGGCCTTCGGCGCCATGGCTGCCGGCAGCTGGCGGCGGCGTCGAGCGAGGGAGCCTCCGCTGGAACGGGCTTCCTCTGGGCCGATTCGCTCGCGGCGGCGGCGGCCGTGGCTGGCGCCAGCAGTGCACGAGCGGCGAACGCATCACCAGCGCCCTCGCGGTCTGCATGCCAGAGCGCGGTCCCGCGGAGGTGTGCTCGCACGGATGCCTTCCGCGCGGGGCATCCGCGAAGACGAGGCTCAGGTTGGGCATGTCCCCCTACAGGGGGATTTCGGACGAAAGATAAGAAATAGTCAAACAATACCCCCAAATGGTCAAAAAATTATCAAAACGTCGTCCCCAAAGTATTGTTTGACTATTTTTGAATTTCCCCCTGTAGAATGACAGGCCCGACTTAAGACGATGCTCCGTATCCGCGGGGTCGCGGCCTCGCGGAGCCCGGCCCGCGAGGCCGTGGATATAGATATGTTTGGCGCCCGCGGGCAGCGGAGCGGCGGTGCCGATCTTCGGTCCAAGCTCGCTATGCACACTTTTTTATTTTTTTTTGCTCGCTGTGCGCACTTCTGGCTCCCAGCTCTTCCGATCCCGCACCGTACATCCGAATCCGACCATCCCTGAGCGACCGCATCGAGAGAGGAGGGGTCGACACCATTACACGAAGCAGGTGAGAATGCAGGGATCATCGTCCTGCACACCATGGTGATGTTTCGGCATTGCTCGTCCGATTGCGTTTCCTTGCTCGGAAAAATTGCGGCACAAAGACGCCAATCATGGTCGTGCCAATCAACGGCAACTCATGCGTGAATACATGCGCACTGCAATCGAACCACTAAATCACACCGCGCATGCGAAACCGACCGCATGCTGGTAAATCTGAAGAGCAGCATACGTACTCTTCGACAAACTTGCTGCTACGGTGAGGGCATTGGGTAAATAATCATTGGAGAAGGAATCCAGATTCTGGAAGCCCGTGGAACTCCAACAATGGATTGGCCATGGATATCACCGCTGCCCTCATTAGATAAGGAATTCTCCAAAGGCTGAGGCGTCATGGTCAAATTCCTTGCCCCAAAAAACCCTACAGTAATACTTCGGACCTCTGGACCGCCATCTATTCTAATGTAATTCGCCCTCTGAGTGCCTGTATAACAATACCGCCCCTCGTACGTGTTCGGGAGCATCTCGTTTGTTCAGTTCTGCCTCCGCTTCGCACTCATTGCTCGTGTGCCCACGATTTTGCAACGTGGTTGTGCATGCCATGCTCTTGAAATTGCATTTGGATTGTAAGCAAGCTGTGTGCAATACCTCATGTCGCTCCAATTCCGCTGGGCTGGCCAGACAACGCGGGGACAACAACCTCAAAACGGACCGGGGTACCACGGCGACTGACGACATAGAGACATCAAAGATTTCAACTCGAAAAACATGTCAAGATGTCGTTCCAGCCTGCGACACGATAACGGGGCACCATCTCTTGGACATACCACGTCTTCTGTCGACCAGGAGAAGAAGTTGAGCAGCTCAAGGCCTCCGATTCGTCGCCCCCCTGGAAAGGAGAGCGGGGACGGGGAGGGACAACTGGGAGAGGTGGAGACTGGAAGAGCTTTTTTCTTCAGGGTTTGCACCAGGTGGGGAACCACAGGATGCGAGGAGAGGTCGGATGAGAAAGGGGGAATAAAACCCCCCCCGGCGCCCCCCCGCGGCACCCCCTCCCAGCGCCCCCCCCCGCCTCCTCCGCAACGAATCGGGCGGAACCGGAGCGAAACGCATGGCGAACCGGGCCGAGCCGGACGGCACCCTTGACAACGACGAACCGAACCGAACCGAACCGGAAACTTCTGACGCTGAACCGAACCGAACCGAATTGGACCCACTTCGGAACCTATTCGAACCGAACCGAAGTGGACCCTTCCTGAGAAAGGAAGAAATAGGGAAGAAGGCTGGCAGAGCTGGCCACGCGGAGGGCGAGTGGACTCGGAGGGGCACCCAGGAACCGGGTAACCTCTCCGCCTGCCGATCCGCCCGGACGCTTGTCGAATCCTTACAAGTGAATCTATACATTCCCCAATCAGTGCTTGCACTGAAGGGGTCCTAGCGGGAATTGAAAACTTTGGCGAAAATTTCCGCCGATTTTGGTAGCAAGCTGGGTTCCTGGGTTCCCGGTTCCGGGTTCCCGGGTTCCCAATTATTGGTTCCGAGCCGATTTCGGTGTGTTCTGGGTTCCAGGGCTCCTGGGTTCCTGGTCAATCTCGTCAGGGAAAAACATCCACTGATTGGGGTTTTCTCTGGTGTAATATATACACACGTCCACACTGACACATACCCATACGTTTACAGACATGCAACATGCACCTCGAAAAAGCATGCTGTCACGTACCTCGCATCACGGCAGGCGAAGTTCCAGCCTCACGTTGACGCAGAAATCGTGCAAACGACTGGGCGACACCTGAAACTGCCGACAAGCTTCGGCGGGCAAATTGTGGAGCGTCCCCGAAGGCTACAGCGCGCCGCTGTTTCCGGACGCGCAGCGGTGCCCCCATCCATCGCGGGAGGGGTGCCTGAGCCTGACGGAGGATCGTGCTCGTAAGCAGGGCACGATCTGGGCACGCCACGTCGGAGCTGTCGCTTGCGCGCGCCCAGATTAGTGCCTGGACGTATCGGAGGACCGCAGGGTGAAGTGAGCAGGCAACAGACAGAGGGCATGAGAAACATCACAAGGAGGGGGAGACATAGCTACGAGCTACAGGCGAGCACAGTGACCATCACAAAGAACCACACGACAGCACACCCTCAGCTGGCAAGCTCACGGAGGGTGGCTGGCAAACCACTCCTCCCGCCCTAGGCCTCGACCCGTATCTTCTTTACGAGAGACCCATGCCCTCGCACAATAAGCGCGACTTCTCACTACGGCCGTCCAAGAGCTGTCGTTGGATCGTAGGCCGATCGAACAGCTTGCGCAGTCGTGTCGAAACCAAACGCAGAAACTTTCTGGGCGGGCGCAAGCTCCGGCCCTGCACCACCCTCCCCGTGCAGTGTCGGCCCTCCTGGAGTTCTCTTGGGGCGGGCTCTCAAGGGATATTTCAGGAACATCCGAGGACACCCTGGAACTGTACCAGGCTCCTGGGGCCGCTTTGAGACCTCGTGGCGCGGGGCCCTTTCAAGATCCCCGCCGACGGCTCCGAGACCGCCAGGACGGCCCTGGAGCACCCCCGGCTTCTCTCAGAACCCCTCCGAATCCCCTGGGCCTCCTACTGGCCATCGCTCGGACGTCCGTTCCCTGTGTTTTTTTCGGTCTCGTGCGTGGTCGTGTCGCCAAATGATCAAGGATGCTCCTCGATGGCCCTCGCCGAAAGAAAAACGCACACGTCCGAGCGATGGCAAGCCTAGGGAGTGTCAGGGTACTGGCTTCGGCGCCCCAGGCTCCGGCCCTCCTTGGGGATGAATGTGTGCAGAACTGTGCCTGGGCCCTGTCGTGTCGCCGCTCCACCCCGTCGGGGTTTGACCTTCCTTCTTGCTGGTGCTTTGACCTCTCAAGGTCCTCAATCGCCCCGTTTGTGACACGGAAGCGGATTATTTGTTTGCGGGCTTATTGCCGGATTGGGACCGGAAGAACTACTGGGAGAATCATCCCCCTCCCGCGGCGGCCACTGCTGAGGCCTTCGCCGTCTCCAGGGATTTCTAAGAATCTTCGAATCGCTAGGAATCCTGAGGGAATCCGAAGGATTCCAGGGTTTCCCTTGCGATTGACCACGCCGAACAAGCTGACCACAACTATGGCGAGCATTTACTGCGCACGATTCTGCGCGCGACCTCCATTTGAAGCCGACGACAAGTGCGACGACGACGGCGACGACGACGACGGCGACGAAGACGACGCGCCGACTCGATATACTTATCTGGCAATCTTAGTGCAAACAAGCTCAACATCCCTCTGCCGTGCAGAATAAACCAGAACGCCCAGAGAAATAGCCGCCCAACAACAACCCGCAGGCGAAAAGCAGTCAGAAAATAATTCCGCTGGCGGAGATTCCGATCAAGACCACCACATCTGCGGCGAGCGCTTACTGCATACGATTGACTGCGCGACCCCCATGTGAATACGACGATCGCGACGACGACGAAGACAACGCGCCGACTCGATTGGAGAGGTAGCGAATCATCCTGCCACCCTTTCACAGTTCAGCTCACAATTCCTCTGTCGTGCAGGCTAGACCAGTGAGCAGCATCCGCCAGAAGACATAACCACCCAACAATTGCACAACGGCGAAGCATAGTAGGCGAATCGATGGTGGCGACCCCAAGTGGCCGCAGAGGGAAAATCTAGGATCACTACTCTAGAAGACTCCAGATATATCATACTACGACCAAGTCATTACCACTACCACTGGCTCTTCGATTACATGCACTACGATTATGACGGTAGCTGCTAGTACTACTACTTCTTCTACTTTTGCTACCACCACCACTACTACTACTACTACTATTACTACTACTACTACTACTACTACAATTACTACTACTACTACTACTACTACTGCTACGACTACGACTACTACTAATATTACTACTAGTACTGCTACTACTACTACGGCTACCTCGACTACTGCTACTACTACTATTACTACGGCTACGACGACAATTATTTTCACGACGACGACAACGACGACTACTGCTACTACTACTACTACTACTACTACTACTACTACTACTACTACTACCACTACTATCGCCACCACCACCACCACCACTACTACTACTACTACTACTACTACTACCACTACTACTACTACTACTACTACTACTACTACTATGACTACGACTACGACTACGACTACGACTACGACTACGACTACGACTACTACTACTACTACACTGCTACGTACTACTACTACTACTGCTGCTGCCGCTCCTACTACTAGACTACGACTAATACTCCCACTACCACTACTACTACCACTACACTAACTACTACTATACACTCCACTACCATACCACTACTACTACTACTACGTACTAT